GCCTATGAAGGAAGTAGGGAAGTAGTCTGAGGTAGGTGCACCTGGAGAATGACAGGTCACAAGTGCCAAAGGAAGAATGTAAGGAGGTCTCAGTGTCAAACGGTATAGAGGAGCCATCTAACTTGATAAAGACCAAAATGCATCTGCTGGACTTTGTGAATGAAGATCCATTTCAGAGGAAGTAAATGTTGATAATTGGAGTGAATGAGAGGAAAGGAAACAAACACTTTGTGTGTAAAATTTGTAAGGCAATCGGTGAAGGAAATGAGAGAACTGAGGTGGTACCTGGAAGACAAGGTAGAATTGGGAGATTTTTTTTGGTTTTGATTGGAGAGCATTAAGTATGATTATATGTTGAGAGGAAACTGCCAGGGAAGAGGGAGAGACTGAAATCACAAGAACAGAGGAAAATAGAATGGAATTCCTAAGAAAGCGAGAGACCTGGCCCCCAGCACAGGTGCCAAGATGGAAGGTGGGACATCTCATCTTCTTAGGTGGGAAAAAAGCCAATGATGGTATTCTCCAATGGCTACCAAGTCTCTCTTTTAGGAGTGAAATCTACTTATTTAACTCTACTTCCTCCATGAAGCCCTTGAAGAGACATTCAAGTGCTGAAGTTTCCTCTTGATTCTTAGAATGGTTGAGCCTTTGCTGGACTCTGCTTTATAGTTTAGTCCCCTCCCCCCGCCCCCCCAAACACACTCTGCTCACATAGCAAAGACCACAATCTGGTAGCCCCTAAGAAAGAACTCTAAAACGAGAGCGGGACAGCATGATCACAAACATACATTACATATTCAAAAGTTTTTCATAAACATTATTTAAGGAGGGGCAATAGTCCTGTGTTAGTATTGGTGGCATAAGACCTTCTTTTAGTTGAATTTTAATCTATAGAGGGAGAGGGAGAGAAGACAGACGGCTGCTGATCTGACAGGTGGCATATAGGTGGCTGACGGCTACTTGTGCTATTTCTGGAGTCTTAAGTTCACGGAGTTTGTTCATCTAAATCCAGGCAACAGCATATACCCTAGGGACATAGGGATTATATCACTGCCACTTTGGCTGAGCCTCAAAATAAATTATACAGGGAGGAGGGAGCATCCACCCAGTGTACTCATTTGTAGAGTCACATTCTGTCTCATTTCCTTTCTTGCCAGTCAAAGAAACTAGAAATTGAACTGTGTGTTTAGTAGTATTTTGTCCTGGAATTAAACTGCCTGAGTTCAAATTCTGGATCTGTCATGTACCCTCTATGTAACCTGGAGCATGTTATGAACCTGCTTGAGCTTTCCCAGTTCATCTGTAAATGGAGTAGAGAGGACAGTGCCTGTGCTTATCTCATAGGGGTGATGTGTCGAATAAAATGGAAAGAGTTTTCATAGTGCCTGGAACATGGTGAATGTTCAGTAAATGTGAGCTATCGATATCTCTTAACTAATCTACATTAATATGACTGAGCATCTACTGTGCCCATATCCTTGTGCTATGGGGTGATGTGGAGACGATAAATCACAGAAGAAGAGGGGTGTAACTGGAGGGATCAGGGAAAAATTCGAAGATTCTTGGGCTGAGACTCAAAGATGAGTAGAGGATGGATAGGCAGGCATGGGGGGTTCTAGGTGTGAGAGCAGTGAGAGCAAAGGCTTAGAGCAGGGAGGTGGGGAGCACCTAAGGGGAACCAGAATTTATCGCCATGCTACTGGAGGATGATGAACCCAGGAGAGAGGATGAGGCATGATATGAGAAGAAGCTGGGGTTTGAGCCTTCTCATAAAATGACTTTTTGATGAGGGTCTAATTAATTCACTTCCAAGTAAAACTTAATTCAAGTTCTACCTGAAGTTTGATTTGAGATAGCTTTACACAGAAAAAAATATACTGTCATTTCCACCTGGCATGAACTGATTCTTGATTTTGCATTTGTGGATATTGCTTGGTTCTGTCCCTAAATTCCTTAAATGATGGCTGCTATAGAAACAAAATATATCTAAAGAAAAAAAACTAGAGCTAGTCAAGCATATAGATTCAAAAGCAAAATCCATGGCATTCAACTAAGCAAATACCCATCAGTGTGGCATGCTATGAAGCTTTAATTACGGTGCTCAAGATCAAAGTGACATTACTCAAGAGTGGAGAAGCCAAATGTAAATGAAGGAGGTCTTCCTTAAACAAGAGTTGGTACTCCCTTGGCTCATCGGCTCATTGAGCATTCCACTGTATTCATACACACAGTCACCTGATGGCCCTTAAACATGCACATGAGCAGAAGAGTGTGGTATTGTGATACACGCAGGACAAAGTTTACTGGGTGTTGCTATCGTATGTACAAAGCTATTAAGGCCCCAGGAAGACATCTTCTGGCAGGAGGCAGGGTGTCCTTATATAAGCAGTTCTAGAGAGACTGCAGCCTTAAGCCTGTCATCCCAAGCATTAAACCTAGAGCACGGTATTTGTTAATGTCCGTACTCTACTGTTGACTGTTTTCCAGCTTAATCATACAACAAGCTAAAATATTAGCCATATGCTCTGTTCTAGATCCTAGGGAGAAAAGGAGTGAGATGGAGCCAGAGGGTCTTTTCATCAACCTCTATTTTGGGAAAGATACTGACAAAAGAATGGATTGGAGTTAGGCAAAGAAATGGCTTTACTAGTCCATACATTGGCAGTTAGCAACCCTGGTCTCTGTCATTCTGCTTTTCATTATTTAATTTAATCCAGAATGAGAATAGACAATTTATTACCCTAGCTCCTATCTCTCTCTCTCTCTCTCTTTTTTTTTAATCACTGTGTCAACACCATCCATCGCCCCTATATCCTCATTGTGGGATAGGGGACTGACAACCACTCCTCCCTTCTTCACCTTGGGGATACTCCACCGTTTTGGATTCAGAGAGGGAGAGAGGGGAGGTGGGGGAAGCAGGAGACACTGGCAAGAAAGGCAGCAAAGTGCTCCTGAGATATTTGCATTGACTCAGAAGTGAGAATGTAGAATTTAAACCTTTAATATCTTCTGCAATCTTGCCTCAATCCATCTCTCCAACTATCTCTCACTCCTTACTTTCTCAAACTCTTGACTCTAGGTATACAAATCTAGTCATTGTCCCCTTGCAGAAACCACTGTAGATTAAACTGCCCCAAAGCCATTCTGAATATTATTCACCTTTGCTGCTCTCTACTGTAGAGGCTGGAAAGCCAAACACTTGCCCCATCTTTGTTCCAGGTATGGGTGGCTCTGAGTGTCAGTTCTGGCCTATTAGATGTAGGAAATATGCTGGGGTGGGGGGTGGGTGGGAGGGAACTTCTAGGAAAGCTTCTGTTTCCTCATAAAATGGAAAAGGTGCAACTGATACAGCCTTTGCTTCTCTCTCTCTTTTCCTGCCTTGAACACGGATGAGATGGCAGGAGTTGCATCAGCCATTTTGTAGACATGAGGAAAATATTGATGACATCCATTCTTATTATCTACAGGTTAGGTTTCTCTTTTTAGCATCAGATTTATACTTCTAACTGCCCATGAGATAGCCTCACGTGGATGCTCCACAAGCCTAAATATTCTTTTGTGGATACTGCTCCCGTCAATCTGTTCCTTACCTGTGCTGCCCATCCACCCTGCCCAAGCCCAAATCCTGGGCATTGTACTTGACCTCTTTCCCCTTACCTCACTCACCTGTTGCTCACCAAGTCCTGTTGATCCTTTTCCTTCCTCCAGACTGTCCGCTTCTCCTCCTCCCCACACCATGACACTAATGTATGCCTCCAACATCTCTTACCTCGAGTCTTGTGATTGGTCTCCCTGCCTCCAGTCACATTCCTTTCCAAACCATTTTCCATGCTGGGGACAGAATTTTCCTTCAAACATGATGATATCATGTTCCTGCTATAAGCCGTTGACTTACTTGTCATTTTCCTTAGGATGAAATTCAAACTCCTTGACATGATCCGTGACTGCAGTTTCGTCTTGGCCTTGAATCCGGTGTGTGAGCCTATGGGACCCTCAGCCCCCTCATCTGCATGCAGGGATCATGACAGTACCTCCCTCACAGAGTGTGTATGTAGAACACATAGGGTGCCTGTAAGGCGCCTAGTATAGTGTCTCACGGGTGGTCAGGGCTTGGTAGCGTGTGTACTTTCCCACTTATCATCAGAAACAGGCACAGCCTCTTGGCGCCAGGAAAGGTGATGACATAGCTCCCGTTCCTCTCTTTAACGAACTCCACTTTATGTCCAATGACAACCCTATGTGGTGAGGATTAAAGCTCATTTTTGTGCTTCTTCCCTCATGAGCACCCCATGGAGCCCTCACTACTCATGCAGTAATCTGTAGAGGGGTGTTGAGCTGGGCTTCTCTGGAAAACCTCTCCATTGTCCCAGGGAGGGCCGTTGACAGGGCCAAGCCTTGGTGCATCCTGGGAGGATCGGTGTGCCCTCCACTGCCCTGTGACCCACCCTGTGACACCTCTTCAGTCCCCACTTGCTCACCCACACACTCTGTTCCAGCTTGGCTACTTTCCCAACCTCCGCATCACCACCTCGGGTCCCCTTTTCTTCTCTGCAGACCAAACTGTACATTGTTTCTTTCATTTCTATCCTCTTCAGTTAATGAAACTGAACCCTGGCTTTTTCTAATCTCATCTCATTATCCTGAATAAATCCTCCAGGCAAATTTCCTGCCTCTAGGGTTGTGTAGCAGAGTGAGGTGATTTTTTCTCCTCTGCCTACTTTGTGGCCCCTGGGACCCTTTGTGGATGACAGCTGCAGATACGATCTGCCACTGATTACTGCAGACTCACTACAACACAGTCACGGGAAATGTCTAGGATTTAGAGATGTCCAAGCAGGTCATGCCCATCCATCTGCCCTGGGATCATTGGGTTTATATTCTGAAGCACTCTGGAACTCTAAATACAGGCTTCTTGCCACAGTGAACCCCACCAGTAGTACTCACAACTACATTATCTAGAAGACTGTAGAATTTTGAAAAAATTATACCTAGGATTTGTCTCAGCTGTTTAAATCCAAGATCTTTATTTTCGGTTTCTTTTTAGACAAAGCTTTTATAAGAATCACAGATGGAAGATCACACACAAGTCACATTTTCCTCTCAATAACAAAATTATAGATTCAATAATTTTAAAAAATCAGTTTTTCGAGACCCAGATAGCTGGGAAAATGCTGCTGGGGTTTTTATGGTCTATCACAGAATGTTCTAAATCAATTAGAGGGATGCGATCTATCTCAGCTGTGTTATTTCTCACTGTGAGAAAAAAGAGCCCTGTTTTATGAAACTTGCTTATTTCAGAAAATTGGCAGTAACTGGCTTTGAAGGAAAGTTGGTTAAACTGGAGTTGCAGTTGAAAGCACGGCTCCCTCCTGCTTGCCTCAGTGGACACTGAAGCATACATCCAGGAAGTGCTGGCCCTGTGAGTGACTCATGTCTTCACGAGCCAGACCTCATTGCGACGTCCATAGGGCTTCATGGGAGGGTCATACCCAGTGCAGAAGTAGATGTCACTCCGGTAGGTGGCCGTGCCCTCTAGGGCGTTGCGCAGCTGGGCAGCTTGAGCTACATAGTCGGCTTCCTTGGCATAACCCCCAAACTGCCTGAGGGTACAAGAGCAAAGGGCTAGTTAAGGACACAGTCTCTCAGAAAGGGGGAGATCTTTCAAAAAAGAATTCACTCACCATGCTTATGACAAGTATACTATGGCAGTAAGATTGTGGAGTGGTACTTCCTAGATGGCTAGGTTTGACCTCTCTGAGCCTCAGATAACTCATTTGTAAAACTGAGATACGTTTTCTTTCTCTTCCAAGGCTGTTATGGGCATTAAATGCAATAATGGATGTGAAAAACTCTAAGGCAGAGCCTGAACCATATTAGTTTCTTGCACTAAATGTGAGCTTCCCGTTCCTCTCTAAAATTTCCTGGAGATGGCAGGTGGAGCTTTCCCAAGACCATGCCTTCTCCCCATTCTCTAGTTTCCTCTACTGCCCCCACCGCTGCTCCTCTCAGCCTTAATCTCCCCAGCTAGGGAAGGAGGAAGGATAAAGGGGAGTCGGGGTAGAACTGCAGCTAATGTCTCTCCTTCAGTAGAGCAGTTCTAATGAGTGAGCACATCACAGCAGTGACAAATGGCAGCTTTGTTCAAAAACAGAGCCACCAAAGGCAGAGACCTGAGAAAGTCTTGGGAGGGCCCTTATGCAAGCTTTAAGCATGTCCCAAATAAAGAAATCACTTCTAATAAATCCCTTCTACTGTTCAAATCATGAAAGCCTTCTTTTTCTAGTAAGTAAAGAGACTTTTGCTAAATCAGGCTTTTCTCCTGGTGGCAGAAGGTGGGCATAAGGAAGCAGTAAAGCCTCTCTTTTCAAGAGGATTATTCTCTCCTCACGTCATCTGCCTACGCTCCAAAATTCGTCCTGTGGCCTATCCTAAATATACCACTCTAAATCTGAGTTACACTAAAATCTTTATTAGAGTTAAATACATTCCCATTTCTAATGAGCTGTATGACTCAAAAGTCTGAATCTGCATCAGGCCAAGATTAGGCCAAATGCATTATTTTTGGTGGGGTTCTCTGACTCACGCTTTGCCCTTTTATAAGTGGTTAGTCATGCCCGGCAAGCATTCAGCATGTTGATTACAGGGTTATTGACGTGAAAACACCCAGGATTTCACCTTTAAGAGATTGATTATTATGATATCTAGACAACAGCTACAGAACATGGAACAGAGCTGAGACCAATTTGGAATAGAGGAGGCTTGGCTCTTCAAATCTATTGAAGAAAATTTATAAGGCAGATGAAGAAAGCTGAGCTCTAACTTCATTGAGGCTCAAATGAAAGGAAACTGGGTTAGTAAATAGAGAATGAACAGTAAGGAAGTATTTTTCTGGCATTAAAAACCTGCCAGACACTAGAATTATTTTCAAAGAATGTCTACAGATTGAGAACCACCTGTCTGAAAAGAATCAGATGCTGGATGTGGGAGCAGGTGTTGAGTGCCCTCTCATGCTATGGTACTAAATTGCTATCTTGTAAAAATGGATGATGTTGGCTCTTTAAGCTGCTGGTTTTTGGAAACACCCAAAGGAGTGGTTCTCCAATATCTTCATTCATCAGTTGGAGGCAAAATGGCTAGCTGTTCATTCAAATCCTACGTCTGCCACTTTCTAGCTCCTGTGCTTGGCCAAATACTTTACTTTCTCTAATCTTCAGGTCCTCTATCTGTGAAACAGCGAAGATAGCATCAATCTCAGAAGGCTGTTGTAAAGATTAAAGGAGAAAAGACAGTGCAAACTGCTCGAGCAGTGCCTGTCACATAGTAAACTCACATGAAACAGAAGCTATTATGGTTATTCCACAATTCCCTCGGAACGGCCATTCAATTCCCTGATCCCGAGGTGAGGAACATGATAGTAGTTTAAAGTAGCATCAGGAACACAGACGAGAGAGCCTAATAGTAAAGAACTGGCTCAATTAGAAATCTCATCTTCTCAATGAGGCCTACTCTCAAAACCCTGTTCAATCTTATAAACCCTCTACCCTTCCCCTGTCTTTTTCCTTTGACCTACTTTTTCTTATTGTGTTCATTGCTTATGGTCTGAGTTCCTTGGTAGAATACAAGCTCTATAAGGGCAGGGATCTTTGTCACTTTTTGCTCAGCAGTGTATTCTGAGCACATAACACAGTGCCTGACACGTACTAGATCCCTTGGCTAAATGAACAATTCTGAGATAAACAGTAAAAGTTACCGTCTTCAGGCTGATAGACCTAAAGATGATAGCACTTGAGTCTGTTTGTCCTCATGTTCATGCACTCATATAATAAACACCTGAAGCACATACTAAGACAGTGGCGAGAATGCAGACAGGAAAAGTGATTGACTGGAGTCATAGTGCAAAGGGCCTTGAATGCCCTGCTAAGGACTTTGAACCTGATCCTAGATGCAAAGGTGGACTTATGAAAGAGTTTTAAAGTAAGGGACCAACATGATCAGATTGTAATTTGTAGAGAGACTTCTGGTGGCAGTGGACAGGTGGGGAAAATGGAGTCATTGGAGGCCCAGGAGCAGCCAAGTAAGAGATGACAAAGTCCTGGACAAAGGCAAATTTGAGAGGTGGCTGGCTGTGAAGGAAAGGTTGGGGGGGTAGGTGCGGGGTTGGGCATTCTCCAGGGCTTCTAGTTAAGCCTCTGGATAGACTGATGCCTCTAGCCAGATTAGGGGTTCCAGGCTGAAGAGTCATTGGTCAGGAGGGGTGGGGAGGGTTAGTGATTTGGTTTGGGGCATGCTGATATGAAGTTGTCTCTGTGAAATACATTCATGCAACAATTATTGTGTACCTAAGAGTGTGTCAGCACTCTTAGACATGGGAAAGAACTGGAGTCAGAGATATCGATTTGGGAAAGAGATGAGTCGAAAGACAGAAATTTGGGAGTCACCCGTGTGTAGGTGCTGGCTCTAATCGTGGTAAAGAGGGAGACCAGGCATAGATGGTGAGCAAACAGAGCATCAGATTACTTTTGGGAATCCTAGTTCCCAAGTGGTGACGAAGGAAGAGGACTTGGCAAAGGACCCTTAGAAGGAGTTGTCTGAGAGGTACAAAGAGACCAGCAGAGAGAGATATGGAGAATGTCATCATTCAGGGATCCCCAAATTCATTATTAGAAAAAACCTCCAACTATTTATATTTATTCCTAGGCTGACTGAGATGCTGGTAATGAGAATAAAAATTCCCCTATTGCTTCATTAGGGATGTCTTCTATTAGGAAAAAAGCAAAGCGGGTGGGCTAGGGAGTAGATACACATTCTCCTTCCTGCCAATCTAACCGACTTACCCTAATCCAGTCTCAGAACTGCACGAACAAGCCAGAAGACCAAACCTTACCAGGCACAGAACTCCAATATGTAAAGAAAGCCCAGTTCTGGCTTAAGTTCCGGGACAAGCTGCCTCATTCTTCCCCACCTCAGCTCCCAAGCTGTGCACGGAGGGTAACAACACAGGGCCCACAGCACGTGTGAATGTGAGTTAAGGAATGCTCGTAAAGCGCCTTGAGCTCCTCGAAGGAAATAAACATGAAGTCTATACATTATTTTTGTATGCCTGTTAACAAGTCTCTAAGTCTCAAAGAAACTCTCCTCTGGGGCACTGTATTTTATCTCGCCCAATGTCAGAGCTCAGCATTCCTAACAAAGATTTTTGGTAACCATGGGAACCAAGGAAGGACACACATGCCTTAGATTCCAGAAACACAAAAAGGACTGACTAAAAAGGGCTGGAAGAGTTGGAAAAGAGGGGTGACACAGGCATCAATGAGGCAGGTTAACAGAGGCTTTGGTCCAAGGGGGCAAAAAATCCTAATGTGTTATCTTTCAGGGAATGTCTGGTGCAGGCAGGCAGTGAGGGAAAAAGAAATGCAATGACTCAGAGCCTGACAATCCAACTTGGTCTAAAATTTAACAATCAACAAGTCAACAGATTTGTGGATTCTGCTATCACTGTGCTCTGTGCGGGGCTCAAGAAGTATAAGACTAGGAGCTGACAATCTCATGTCTACAGGGAAGAGGCTTAACACCATAAGGCACTTCCTTCCATCAAGTTGAACCAAGCCGATTGAGTTGAGCATCGCCGAGCACAAAACGCAAGCTAGATGCCACAGAGCTGTAAAGGTGATAAAGACGTCTTTCTACCCTTGCGAGGTCTAATTGTAGTGGTTGGGACAGAAAGACATAAAATGATATGGGCAGAAGGTGCTAGAATGGCGTAAAAGGCACAAACAGAATGCTCTGGGGGTGCGCAGTAGGGAATGACTAATTCTGACTTAGAATGCAAAGGGAAGGCATTAGGGAAGACATGACATTGAGCAATTAATTATTTGCTGAGCATCTCTCCTTGATGCTGGCAATGAACGATATGACAAAAATTCCTGTTTTCCCAGAGTTTCCAATAAGCAGAGACTCGGGAGGATGTTTGAGAGGAGCTGGGTGGGTGTGAGTGGAGGTGTGGAAGTGGATGTTATATGTGTGTTGGGGCAGGGGTTGGGAGGTGGGGGTGGGATGCTCTGAGATCAAGATGACAGTGGACTGGGGCTATGCAGTAAATGCCACAGTGAGGCATTTTTACTAGGCTTCACTGCATAGTTAAGCATTTGGGGACCCAACCCAAAGTCTACCCATCCCCCTACTCATAGGGAAGGAGCATTTTATTACTAGCTTGGGCTTTGGTCCCAGCCTTAATGTGTACCTAGGTCAGAGGCAGGCTGAGATCCACAACCAGAGCTGAACAAACAGCAGGGGGATGTGGTATGATTGGTCCTGTGCTTTCAGGCTGGCTATGACCAAAGGACAATTTAGAAGTGGCAGAGGTGGGAGAACTAGAAACAATCAGGAGGCTATGGCAAAAGTTCAGGCAAGAGGTGATAAAGACCTGTGGCCGTGTAGATGGAAGGGAAGGGGCCACTAGGAAGTGACCAGGACTCGACCAATAATTCAGTGTGGGGTGTGAAGGAGTCGGGATGACATCTGAACAGGGTGCATAGGAGGATGGAGGGGACCTTCAGTAAGATGAAGAACACAGGAGGTCAGATTGGGGGAAGAAATCTGA